ATTTGATATAATTTTTTGTCCTGTTAGAAATCACCCCGAAGAATACATGGACAGCAATAAATAAGTAAACTGAAGTGCTGCACCGTACTATTCAAGTCCAAATACAAATTTATTCCAACGGTAGATTGTTGGCAAATCCAACGCATTTTGTGGGCTGTAGCTCCGCCTCCTTCATCAGGGCTTTAAAGAAGGAAACAATGATATAGTGTATGTGGACTCAATCAGCATGTTTTGGTGTTTCATGAGCGAGGGCAAAGGGGCGGTAAAAACAGACGGTTGATCCACGTTTTAACCCCCCCCCCTCCGCACCTAAAAGCCAACACGGCGGCTGCTTTTGTATGTAGGCCTGACGTGGCACATTCTATGCAGCATGTTGCATTTGCCATGCAGCACCGCTTGCATGTGTGACCATTGCAGCCAATGGTGACACATGCCAAGTGGTTGCGGAAGGACAGGTGCTGCGTGTGATTAGTACGCAGCCCCTGTCCTTCTCTATGGGAGTACGCGGCTTGCCCTACGCTCACCCGCCCTGGATCTTGTCTGCGCCCGAGCCAGGACACCCGCACCTGTACGGACCTGCACTTGGGGTGAGCATAGGGCGGCGTACGGCCGTGTACTCCCATAGAGAAGGACGGGGGCTGCGTACTAATCACACGCAGCACCCGTCCTTCCCGGGAGCTGCCCGATACGACCGTGCATGCAGCGGTACGTGCCGGCCTTTTCTCGTGTGAATGAGGCCTAAAAATCACACACACGTGTAAATGGAGCCTTAGAAAGTCAGCAGATGGTTCAGATACATTGTATCTTTGCTTCTTTCTTTCAAGCCCTGAAGGGGGAGGGGCTACAGCACCCGAAACGTGTTAGCTTTGGACATCCATCATTGGAATAAATTTGTGTTTGGACTTGAATATCACAATGTGGAGCTACATTTCTGAATTCACTTATTTCTATCACAACCCAAGGTGACCATGGGAGCCCTTCAGTGTGCAGTAGATGCCAGCCCAATATTCAGACTCTTTATAATTTCACCACCTCCGCCATATTATAGGGCAGGGGTAGCAAACCTCCGGCCCTCCAGCTGTGGTGAAACTACAAATCCCATGATGCATGTCTTCGGGAGTCATGTCTGTGGCTGTGAGAATATTGCAATGCTTCATGGGATTTGTAGTTCCACCACAGCTGGAGGGCCGGAGGTTTGCTACCCCTGCTACAGGGTGACAACAATAATACAAAACATATAAAAAAAGAGACCTCAGGGTTCCAGCGCTTTCCCAAGCAGCAATAACATGTAGACAAAGCTTCTATCCCATCCCCCACTCACGACGCAACCACAAGACATACATGTAAAGCCAGAGGTACCTCTCTTTGGTTTTGGATTCCCATTCCACGGCCAGCTTCACATGAGGTGGTCCTCCGCTTCCACAGAGCTGCAGAGCCCTGCAAAACAAAGGCGACCAAATGCTGAAATTACGATTTCATAACTTAAAGGCTTACTACACCCAAAACCATCACTGTAGATTTAAAGTGGACCTTTCCCCTCTTTCACTAAAAATCACACCAGTATGCCGCTCTCCATGCTGATATGACATCATCTTACATTCCTTTGTTACACGTTTTTTGCTTTTATTACAATTACTGTTTTTCCACTTCCTTGAGTGAGGCACTGATGATGTAGCCCTGGCCTGGTTGAGGGAGGCACTGGTGATGTAGCCATGGCCTGGCTGAGTGAGGCACTGGTGATGTAGCCATGGCCTGGCTGAATGAGGCACTGGTGATGTAGCTCTGGCCTGGTTGAGGGAGGGCACTGGTGATGATGCCCAGGTCTGGTTGAGGGAGGGAGCTGGTGATGATGCCCAGGTCTGGTTGAGGGAGGGCACTGATGATAAAGCTCTGGCACTGGTCTGGTTGCGGGAGACATTGGTGATGTAGCTGTGGCCTAGCTGAGTGAGGCACTGATGATGAAGCTCTGGCTTGGTTGAGTGAGGCACTGGTGATGTAGCCCTGGCGTGGTTGAGTGAGGCACTGGTGATGTAGCCCTGGCCTGGTTGAGTAAGGCACTGGTGATGTAGCCCTGGCCTGGTTGACGGAGGCACTGGTGATGTAGCCCTGGCCTGGTTGAGGGAAGCATTGGCGATGTTGACCAGGTCTGGTTGAGTGAGGCATTGGTGATGTAGCTTTGGCCTGGTTGAGGGAGACACTGGTGATGAAGGCCTGGTCTGGTTGCGGGAGGCATTACTGATGTAGCCCTGGCGTGGTTGAGGGACGCATTGGTGGTGTAGTCCTGGCCTGGTTGAGGGAGGCACTGGTGATGTAGCCCTGGTCTGGTTGAGTGAGGCACTGATTATGTAGCACTGGCCTGGTTGAGTGGGGCACTGCTGATGTAGCCCTGGTCTGGTTGAGTGAGGCACTGATTATGTAGCACTGGCCTGGTTGCGTGGGGCACTGCTGATGTAGCCCTGGTGGTTAAGTGAGGCAGTGGCAATGTAGCCCTGGCCTGGTTGAGTGAGCCACTGGCGATGTAGCCCTGGCCTTACAGATACATCCTACATCATCAGTGCCTTCCTGGGAAATCTCATCTGAAAGCTGCAGACTCTCTGAGCTCTCTCTGGGGCTCGGGGCCCTCATGAATCCATGTGTTTGATTAGAGAAGGGTTTGGGGGTCAAGGGCAACATGAACAAGCCACCTTTAGGACCTCTCTGCTTCATTGCAGGGATGGAAGACAGGGATGCAGATCATTGTGCAGGAGCCCCGTGCTTTGTTAGCTGATTGCTGTCCAAAGCTAGTGACAACAGGCAGGGAGCCGGTGTTACAGGTTCCTCAGGTTTCTCCTCTACACCAGGACTACAGCCTGGAAAGCACATAATTGGCACTTGAAGTGGTCCCTTTATACTTTATTTAAAAGAACTCCGGGCAAAAAAATACTTTCACAGAAATATATCCCTCAATAGCCACAAAGGATATAAATCTACTATGTGTGAAACAAATGCCTTCGTAAACCCAGATATTATGTAAATGTAGTAGTGATGACATCATCATAGCCTGTGCAGAGAGAAGAGCTGTGGGAGGGGCACAACAGGCCCCACCCACTGCAGGTTGCCTGCAGATAACTACAGTGGGGGCGGAGACAAGACCAGTCACCCTGCACAAGGAAAGAGCAGCAGTGAGCGGTCTTTATTACAGGAAGCTCCAAGTCTCACACCGGATTACTGCACAGATCTGGAAGAAATACACAAAGCTCACCAAGATTCAGGAAAGTCACACATGACTCTTGTATGAGGACAAAAATGTCTTTACATGCAATGAAAGAGAAAAATCAAATCAGAGCTGAAGATGAACCAATGTTGGACTCTATAAGTCCATTTAAAGGGTCCATCCACCCAAAACTGATATTTCAGCGTTTGGTAGATAATGGGAGAGTTGACGGTTTCCTTTTGGGGACTCTATAAGTCAGATTTCTGCAGCAAAGTTTCTGGCTCTGCACACCTGAGGTGTAGGAAAGGGTTAACACATAGCTGGCTGACATCACACACACAGACCTGTCGATGTCGGCGTGCTGGAGCGGCCGGGCGTCCTTGGCGGACAAGTAGCAGTTGCTCGTTGGAGCCCCAACGCGGATGTGGAAGGAGACACCTCCAGTCTGCAGAGAGAAAACAGAAACAAAATAAACGACACCGAGCAGCGATAAGATGACATTCTCTGTCCTTTTATTGACGGCGCCCCATCGCCATCACTCATCCACC